TGACAGATCCAGAATGTAAACACAGACACTGAGCTAACATTCTGCTGGAATATAAACGTCACTGACCTGGCCCTTCTTCATGGCCTGCAGGACACGTCTCTCCAGCCCGGCGGCCTGCTCATCATCTGTGGGTATACCTGAGGACAAAACACTGATCAAGCTCAAAGGTGAAAGACAGCCGTTTCATCCAACTATTTTAATGTGCATTTTGGGAATATCACACAAATAATGCTTAATAGAAATGCCAAAATGCACATAATTTTTGAAAATGTGCACAGAAGACAGACTTGACTAGGATAAACTTGTGCAGTAAGGTGTTTTGGTCTTGAGGCTGCACTTCCAGCATTTGTCCACCAGTAGTCGCTAATCTGCGGTGTCTCCAGCGTGCGCGCGCCCGCTGATCGCCATGAGCCATAATAACTGGCACACGAACATGATTTTGGTGCCAAGAAAGGCCAGAGCGGCCCTTTACAGCATAAACAGCTCATGACCTTGATTGAAATAACTCTTTATGGATCATAAGAGACATATATTTTACTTCTTGCAGCTTCAAAATACGTTTAGCGCATTTGAAAGTACTTACTTACTTAAGTTCTTCAGATATTAATGAGTATTTCATATGTTTGTGTTTATTATTAGAGCACTCACATGTCATTCGTGCAAAAGTACGAGTATTTTCTTTGTTATTATATGTGAATAATAAATAACTGCACTAACCGTTAGGGTGTCGCGCGCATATTTAAATATCTCAATAATAATCAATTCTTCAATCGCCCTTACCTTTACCGGCCATCGCCCGCTGAGGGGTCTTCATGAAAACATTCTGTCTGCCCATGAGGGTCACGCGACAGGCTCTCAGCAGGAGTTTACTTGCCATTTTGTGACAGTTTCAGTCAGTTTAAGAAAGTTTCAGCCGTCCTCGAGCGCGCTCCAGCTGACACTCACTGCTGTATGTGACGCTCTGTCAGGGGAAAGTCAAGGAAATGATTGACGTGAGGATCGACCAATCACAGCGGAGACCCGCTGGACTTTGACCAATGAATGAAGAGGGAGTTGAGGAAGAGCGGGACAGGTGTTCTTCGAGAGGACAGTCAAATATAAGTGAAATTAAAGTGTGTTACAAGTAACAATCGACATTTCCTAATTGCTTTAGGAACAATATTTGCTAAGTTTCTCAACTTTTTAATAATAATGGTCATTTACTTTCTTATTCTGAGTTCTTAAGTAAATTGTATTCTTATAACCCCACGAGAGTTTGCCAAAGTTATGGACGCAATGGGTATATCCCCATAGATATATACACTAGATATCGCATAGGGACCCTGAGCATGCGTCAATAGCGCCGCCACATTGGTACAGTGCTCCCAGGACAAATGTCATTCAACCGCACTAGTCAAGACAGTGTTATTACGTGAAGATGCGGGACTTTAGCGCTGTCTACGGGTGTAGTAACGAACAAACGAAGAAAACAAAGCACAAACGCAGAATATTTCATAGGTTATATTAAGTTTTTTTTCTGTTTTTGTATGTTCTGAACTTTTGTGCTAATCAGGTAACGTTATTGATGATAACAGTCACTTACTGCATTCACCATACGGCAAAGCAGCTCCAACTCGCACTAAACACTCGGCTTATGCTAGTTTTGTTGAATAAAATCAGCAAACAATGCAAAAGAAATACGACAACGAGATGCTGCGCTGCCAGAAACTTGTATTATTGTCGGCTAACGTTAGTGAAAGAGTCGTTCGGGGGATTCATTCACAAACGAATCGCTCCCTCCGTCAGTATGAGCAGTGAAAGCAGGAGAGGAGCTGTGTTTCAGGACATGATTAAATCAAATTTAACAGGGAGGGTGAATAGTACATTTCCATACACACAAACACAAGCTTTTTGTCAGGAATGCCCGTGCGGTCACTGATCCATCAATGTAGAAAAGTGATGTAAAATTATAATTTTCGTAATTAGAAAAAAAAATACATACTAACATCCAGGAAAACTCCCGATCATAGATATATGTGTATATGTGTATATCTCTGGCTTTGGATGGCCACAGTCCTCCACTATACCTAGGTCCCGCATTCATTTCAAAGGAGCGCTACCCTGTAGCAAGATGGCGGCGCTATTGACGCATTCCGTCCAATAGACAACAATAGGCCAGGCGACATCTAATGTATATATCTATGGTATATGCCGAGCTAATGCGTTTCCCATACGGATAAAATTCCGGTGACCTGTTATTGTAAAAATGTTTTCCATTTTATACGGTTCCTTTTACAGCACCGATGTTTTAATGTAATTCAAATACAATCAGCTAAACAGACTTTGGCATTATATTTAGTTGCTCGAGCATAAAACGAGACAAAAAAAAGCCGTTACTCGCACACGCCTGTCAGAATCGACAGGCTAGAGCAGAGCTCCATTGAATATACTGGGGTAAAAATAAATGCTCATATTATAAAGACATGGCGGGGAAAATGTCATTTAATGCAATGCTTGTACAGTCTGAGACCCACTTTATATCGGATATCACTCATCAGTGGAGATGCTGATTTTGTTTTAAAAAAAAAAACAGACCTTAAACTTTTTCATTGGCATACAATTCACCGGAAACGATTAACCCAGGTTAATGGCATATTAAAAGAGAGAGAATAAAAAAACTAACACTATTATTTGTGTAATTCGAGAGGACAGCAAAATATAAGTAAATGTAAATAAAATATGTTAAATCGACAGAATACAATACTAAAAGAAAGAGAATAATTAAAACACACCACTATTATTTGTGGTATTCGAGAGGACAGCAAAACATAACTAAAAGTTTCCACAGAATACAATACAAAAAGAGAGAGAATCTTAATTAAAATAATCATTTATGTTATTACATTAGCAGAATCGAAATATTATAACATTAAAATTATGTTAAGTCCAATTGACATTTAAAAATACATCGTTTTTTAGTGTCAAACACAAACAACTCTTGTTTTCATTCATTGTTTGAATTGTTTTTTTTTATATTTACAGTTTGTGCTTTTTGTGTGTGTTTTTAATTCTTTTAATAAATATTATAGATTTAAGATCAGTTTAAGATGTTTATATTTTATTTTAGTTACTGTTTGTTTTATTTCAAGTATGAAAAGTTGACCATCATATATACTCAGGTTTACGAAGATTCTACTTAATAAACTTAAATATTTTTCAATCATATTTACAAAATTTACAGTATAATTTGTATAGCACTTTAGATGATAAATTCCTTCATTAATAATAATAATAATAATACAATACTATTTCACAAAAGACTTTATTTTTTGCTAATTACTACAACGTACAATTCAAAGGATCACAAACACCACTTATATAATCATTTAAAAATTAAACTCATACTTTTGCACAAACATGTATCCACCACAACTGGAAAGCATATCATATGCACTGGAAATAAATAAAAACATCAATACCAAGTTGACATTTTTACAAGATACTCATGGCTGATGTAGTTAAATTAATTAAGTATAATTAATTAAAACCTTACTATCATATATATATATATATATATATATATATATATATATATATATATATATATATTCATTAAAACATTACTGTGACAAAAAAAATGAATTACAAAATATTAAATGCATTACAGTTACATGTGGTAAAGTAACTTTGTGTACTCTCGGAGTGTCTTGTAAAAATGAAAATGAACGCAGTAGCCATTATAATAATATTTTATTTTCAAATTAAGCCACGTTTCACTCACACTTGACAAAACTCAAGACATTTAAGGCATCACTTCTGAATATGATGACACAAAAAAAAAATGAACAACAGGAAATATTAATTTATATTTCATAATTCCTGAACTTCTGTAAAAGCCCTGTAGGAGCTTCACCAGCCCATCGAAACCTCTGGTGCCAATAATCACCTGTCAAACACAAACAATACGGAATTAAAGTGGCCCTATTATGCAAAAATCACTTTTATAAGAGGTTTAAACACAGCTGTGTGTCAGCAGTGTGTGAATATATCCAGCCTCTCATAGTAAAAATGTATTTATTATAAGCAGACTTGATGAAAACCGTCAGCAGAAACACTTTAAATGACATTCTCCCTTTGTATGTGTCATCAGAGGGGGAAAGCCCCGCCCCGTCTGCCTTTAGAGTTTTGAATCTGCCACTCTGCTGACACACAGTCATTTGTAGCTCCGCCCTCTTCTGAAAAGAGCACAATCCCATTTGCATTTAAAGCGACAGTGACCAAAACGCCACAATTAGAATCAAAGCCTAAAAGGGTCAGTTTCAGAGAGATATAAACATTATCTGTGTGCTATTTAGAGCTAAAACCTCATGAAAATCAAAAAGGGGCAGAATAAGTGGCCTTTAAGAGTGAAACAAACGATAACATCTAAGAGTAAACACAAGTCTCCTACTTGATGGCAGTGATGCTTCAGATGGTTTCTCCTGCACTGTGTTTTCATCTGATGGATTTGAATCTTCTGCAGCTTCAAGCATCGGCTCCTTCTTGGCCTTCACAGCCCAGTGCATTGACTGAAAGAACATTATTTGTGTTATTGTTAATGCAATTTTTTTTTTATCCATGACAGGATGCAACGCTATATTTCTTGTAATTGTTTATTATTACACGGCTCTCTGGAATACTTGATTTTGATTGGTCAATCATGGCACTTCATAGTCACTCACTTACTGTTTTCACCGAGTCGCTGAGCGCTCGCCATTCACCGAAAGGGATTTTAATTTGACTTCTGAGCCACAGATCATAACTTTTTCTCTTCTTCTCATCTGTCAGGACTTCTTTAGCTTCCTGTAGCTTCTGGAACTGCTCCACTGCAAGATTAAAATCATCAACACAAGAGTTCACAATCAGATATTCACAATCTGATGATTTTTTAAAAGACTGTTTACTTACTATTTATTTGATGTGGTTACCCAAATGAATGAATGTTTCATCTTATACAATTATTTATATATATATATATATAGTTGCAGTCAGAATTTTTAAACCCATTTTGAATTTATTTTTCTTTTTTTAAAAAATTTCCTAAATGATGTTTAACAGAGCAAGGAAATTTTCACAGTATGTCTGATAATATTTTTTCTTCTGGAGAAAGTCTTATTTGTTTTATTTCAGCAAGAATAAAGGCAGTTTTTAATTTTTTAAACACCATTTTAAGGTCAATATTATTAGCCCCTTTAAGCTAATTTTTTCCCGATAGTCTCCAGAACAAACCATCGTTATACAAAAACTTGCCTAATTACCCTAACCTGAAAAGATGCTTAAAGATAAAATAAATCAGTTATTAGAGATGAGTTATTAAAACTAGCATGTTAAGAAATGTGCTAAAGAAGTCTGTTCTCCATTAAACTGAAATTAGGGGGAAAAATAAACAGGGGGGCTAATAATTCTGACTTTAACTGTATGTTAGGGAATAATATTAAATAAAGATGTAAAAAAAGTGAAAAAAACAAAATAAGCAAAGAATATATCAAATTTAGTTAAATTTTGTAGTTTGTAATTTATTTTAGCAATATTTAAATGCATTATCTTTCTATTTCTAAAGTATTCGATGATTAAAATATTGTATGTATGTATGTATGTATGTATGTATATATATATATATATACAGTGTATATATATATATATATATATATTTTTTTTTTTTTTATACATCTGTTTTGTTCAAATGTACCAAAAAAAATATATTGTCTATATTCATACACACATACATACAAAAAAAAAAAAATATATATATATATATATACATATATATATATATATATATAGCCTATATAGAGAGAGAGAGAGAGAGAGAGAGAGAACACTGTAAAAACAATAATTATATTGAGTATTGTTCATTTAATTTATTAAATTACCCATTAAAAATGTATTTTATTAATGCCTACCCATACCTCAACCTTCACAGTGATGTAAAAACAGTAAGTGTTATTCATATTATTTATTAAATTATCTATTAGAAAATGTTTTAATGTTTACCCAGCCTTCACAGATATGTAAAAACAGTACATACACCAAGTTTTATTCAAATATTTTTCAAGTGCTATTTAATGGATTAAGTACATTTTAACCCTATTTTCTGTAATATTTCCAAATTGTCTAAATGTTTCACATTAAGGCTGCACAATATATCTTTTCAACATTGATATCGCAATAGTCACATCGCAAAAATATGCAATGTTGAGTCTAAATTATAATTGAGCAGGAGCTACAGAACTGTATTTATTCACTACATTTATATAGAATTTATATAATTTATGCCAAAGAAAAAATCTTAGAATTTGAGGCTTGTTTATTGTTTAAATATCTACATTTCAAAGTGAAAACAGGATTATTTCACTAACCCCACTAGCAGATAATGTAGCTTGTTTTAGCGAAAATCTCCTAATTTTGATTAATTTCTTCTGATGGTGAAAAGGAAACAATATTTTTACTTGATCAAAGAATATTTTGGTATTTGGACAAGAATTGAGACAAAACAAAGTGCGGAAAACATGCTTTTGCATTGTGGTTATTCAATTTCTGTACCTGAATACTGTTATGCTCCCCAGAACTATTAAATAGTGCTATTCATTTTATCCTGTCAAAAGGTCTTCATATCACAACACTTTTGGCAGAAAAATAAAATACAGCAATATCAGATTTTTCCAATATCGTGCAGACCTATTTCACATTTCAAACTATAAACAGTAAATTATTCATAAAACAGACGTAAATGCTTTTAAAATAATGTATTTTTTTCGTGTAGCCATATACAGTTGAAGTCAGAATTATTAGTGCCCCCCTGAATTATTAGCACCCCTGTTTATTTTTTTTCCCCAATTTCTGTTCAATGGAAGGCAGATTGTTTCAACACATTTCTAATCATAGTTTTAATAACTCATTTCTAATAACTGATTTATTTTATCTTTGTCATGATGACAGTAAATAATATTTTACTGATATTTTTTAAAACACTTCTATACAGCTTAAAGTGACATTTAAAGGCTTAACCAGGTTAATTAGGTTAACTAGGCAGGTTAGGGTAATTAGGCAAGTTATTGTATAACGATGGTTTGTTCTGTAGACTACTGAAAAAAATTAGCTTAAAGGGGCTAATAATTTTGTCCCAAAAATAGTTTTTAAAAAATTCAAAACTGCTTTTATTCTAGCCGAAATAAAACAAATAAGACTTTTTCTAGAAGAAAAAATATTATCAGACATACTGTGAAAATTTCCTGAATCTGTCAAACATTATTTGGAAAATATTTAATAAAGAAAAAAAATCAAAAGGGGGCTAATAATTCTGACTTTAACTGTATCTTTGCCTCAAATGCACAAGAGACGCACAAATACTTTTCTGTTTTGTTTTATTTAATTTTTGTCTGACAAGATAACATTCTTACAAGACACATTGGGCTAAAAATAACATTGTTCATAAGGACTGATAAGGTTTGTACCTGCTTTGGGATTCTCTGGATGTTTGTCAGGGTGGCAGGCCAGAGCTTTCACTTTAAACTCATTGACAATCTGTTCAGTCTGTGAGAGATGATCATTAACATTTGTGACACGAATAATGTACTTCAATAACAAATATTAAACTTCTGAATGAATAATTAAACTTCTGAATGTGTATTATCAACTATTATGACCAGCATGGCGCCTGGTGTCTGTTTCCAAAGCAACAGGCTGCTGTTTTCATCTACAAGTGTATAACAGCAGTGTTATGCCGTATTAACACATCCTTTAACATCACTCGCTCTTCTTTGAACGATATTTACATTTTGCGAGTATAACACTAAAACCCAAGCGCTATGATTGTCCATGTTAAATCTGCCTAAACAACACACACGCTCCTCAAAATAAGCCTCGTGAGTTCCTGTAAGTTGTTCGTTTACCGTAGAAAGTTCATCACAGCCCAGCAGCCCATAATAATCCTCCAGATCCTCTTTTCTGCAGTTTAGGATCGCCTCCATGCCTCCTACCCTCGACGACACTGCATTACCGTAATCCCCCCCAAAATGCCTGTTTCTGTTAGAGTGCTCAGTTAGTCTAACACGCATGCGCGTGATTATTTGGTGCTTTACGGTAAATTAAATCATTTAAATGCCCTGCGTGACTCAAACCCTCTGAGTCATCCGCCTGTCAAACGACAAATACTCCTGTTATTTATTAAATTACCCATTAATTGTGTTTTATTAACGTCTATCACTGCCCTAACCTTAAAACCAACCCTCAAAATAATGTAAAAACAGTAATTATACAGAGTATTATTCATGTTATTTATTAAATCACCCATTAAAAATGTCTTTTATTAACGTTTACCACTACCACAATCCTTACAGTAATGTATAAACAGTAACCATACCGAATATTATTCACGTTATTTATTAAATCACCTTTTAAAATCTATTTTATTTACGTTTAACTTTACCACAACCATAACAGTGATGTAAAAACCGTAATTATACCGAGTATTATTCATGTTATTTATTTAATTAGCCTTTAACAATGTATTTTATTAACGTTTACCCCTACCACAACCCTCACAGAAATGTAAAAACAGTCATTATACAGAGTAATATTCATGTTATTTATTAAATTACCCTTTAATGTAATATTAAGCAGCTTTATCCCATTTTTATTATGAACAATGCAAAAATATTCCACACAGTACAGTATAAATAAATAAAAATTATTAAATAACAAAAAAAAAATCTGTATCCAATTTTTAAAAATTGAATACAAGAAAAATAACATCACTGCATTGAAGAGAAAATACAAGAACAAAAGTTAGGAAAGAGAGAGAGAAAAACCTTTACAAACCCTCAATCATTAAGAGCAGGGGTGCACAAACCTTTTCTAATGAAGGGCCAAAAACAGAGTTGATTGAAGGTGGTGGGCCAAAGTGAAATAAAACAAATTATTACATTGAAATTGTCATGGTTATGTCCTATTTTATTAAAATTTATATATTAATTTTAAAAATACTGTAATTGTAATAATTATATATTTTTAACATTATATAATGAACTTCTTACATTAAAAACAAACAATCCCCTTTATAACACAATGGTGTTCAATGCTGAATATATTGAGTACACTTGATTTGCTCATTGAGGACCCTTCATTTTTTTTAAATCAGATTTGTGCACAATATTTAATTGAAACATTTGATTTGATTTGATTTGTTGTATCTCAACAATTAAACAAACAAACAAAAGGTTACGTTAAAATTAGAAATAACGAGCTCTGTTGAGGGAATTGGCCCCAACCTTCTCATCATTCTACCTGTCTTCTCAGATGGGATGGCGGGCCGAAGGTAACCATTGGCCCTAGTTTGGGCATCTCTGATTAAGAAAAAGATTATCAAAACTTATTATTATTATTATTATTATTATTATTATTATTATTATTATTATTATTATTATTATTATTATTATTATTAATAAATTCAAGAGATATAACAATGAAAGAAATTTCACCAAGGAATATGTTATATCTAGGTATTGTCTTTAGGAGCTTATTTTTGTCTATAAATTATTACAAGATGCTCTATCCCATTTATTATTATTTGTTACATTTTATTTGTAATTTTATTTATTATTTAAGAAAGAAGATTTATAAAGACACAATTTGAACAAAGAGACAAAAAGGATAACATAAATATATCCTAGTAAATAATACAAGCTTTATTATTATTTTATTTATTATTTAATAATTATTAGTTTACATAAATCAAAGTTCTTTATGAAAATAATAAGCTAGGGTTTTTTGAAAAGGAGCATTTATTGATGTAAAATTGAGTCAGAAAGAGCGATAGCTGTATCCCATCTAAACTTCACCGTCCACCAGCTCGTGACGTCACGCCACGGCATTACCGGAAGGTCCTCCCGCGCTCCTCCTCCATTCACTCCCTGGCGAAGATGGCGGACGGCGAAAATAAACGGGCCGAATCCGCCGAGCCGGACGAGCCGCTACCGAAGAAACCGAGGCTTCTGGAGCTGTCCGGTGATTCGGAGCACAGCGCGACCGCCGGTGCCGATACATTGGACGAGAAACCGGCGCGGATGGACGAGTCACAGCAGGCCTTATCGATCAACAACAACAACAACACTAGACCGACTGAACCCGGGCAGCCAGCCGACCCGGAGCCCGAGATCTCCGGTAACGTAACCGCGTATTCTTCATCCGTTTTTCCGTTATTTTATCACGGTTGTTTTAGCATGTTTTTATTTCTGCGGCTAAGCTAACGGTCAGACCTCTGCTTGTTCACTCAGTTTACTCTGTTTTTACATGATGTTTGAATGATTTATTTACAATAGCAACTTTGTAAACAATTATTATTATTATTACATTAGTTTCTACATTTTAAACCGTTTTTTATATCATGTACGTGTTTGTATATTCTATTCTATTAATAATAATGATAAGGATATGAGCTAATATAGTTGTTTAATTGTTATATTTGATAAAAATAATAATTATTATTATTAAAATATTATTATAAAAAATAACATTTTTACGTTTGTATTTATTATATATATATAGATAGATAGATAGATAGATAGATAGATAGATAGATAGATAGATAGATATGTTTGTATATATTCTATTAATTATAATAAGGATGTGAGCTAAAATTATAGTTATTTATTAATTATTTGATAAAATAATAATAGGCATTATTATTCAATAAAATACTACATTTAAAAAAAACGTTACTTGTTTCATAAATATTTGTATATAATAATACATTAAAAATAATTAGAACAATGTGAGCTAATGTTATAGTTTATGGAATTGTTGATAAATTAATATTATTAATAATAATAGTAATAATAATAAACATTTATTATTTGATTAATGACTACATTTTCAAATGTTATTTATTTAATATATGTATATATTATTTAATCAGTAATAAGGATATAAGCTAATATTATAGTTTTTTTAGTTGTTAATTATTTAAATAATTAATTAAAATAATTATTATTATCATGTCAGATTTTTGTCACTGCTGTTATATGTCATGTCAAATCCATACATTTTATGTTATTCTTTTTGTATATCATATTTATTTATCTTGATTGGAGAAATGTATTAATAAAGCATGCATTTCTACTAATTATATACACTTTTATATAAAATACTGATTATTGAAGCTGTAACTCCTGCACAGATTCGTCATATTTTTTTGTATATCCTTCACAGAATTGTAATTGCCCTGCATACTTAACTTAAATAAATGTTTTTATTAAATATATGTATAGTTCTGATTAATTTTGAAAAAAAAACTATTATTATTCAAACTCAAAATGCACATTGTAACCATCTAATCCAGTTGAATAAAGGCCAGTTGTGTTGTACTTGTATCATAGTAAAGCTATTAAAACTGAATGTATTAAAGTATTAAAATATCAGGGTGTTGGGTTGCAAGTTAAGTGAAAATTACAAAATATACTTAATATATCTGTACAAGTTTAAGCGTAGTTCTGGTTAATTTTGAATAAAACTATTATTATGCAGCAGAAATTGTACATAACTATTATATTATTATGTTATTAATTATATTACACTAATTGCTTGACACAGTGGCTTAGTGGTTAGCACTGTCGCCTTACAGCAAGTCGCTGGTTCGAGTCCCGGCTGGGCCAGTTCTCCTCGTGTTGGTGTGGGTTTCCTCCGGGTGCTCTGGTTTCCCCCACACTCCAAACACATGCGCTATAGGGGAATTGATGAACTATATTGGCCGTAGTGTATGAGTATGAGTGTGTATGGGTGTTCCCCAGCACTGGGTTGCCATCCACTGTGTAAAACATATGCTGGATAAGTTGGCGGTTCATTCCGCTGTGGCAACCCCTGATGAATAAAGGGATCAAGCTGAAGGAAAATGAATGTATTATAGTTTTAAAGTGTAATGTTTTTGTTTTGCAGAGTTAACTGATGAAGGTGTTCATCCCAATGGTTTTACATCCCCTGATCTTCTTCGGGACGATGATGACTGCTCATCCCGTGCCAGCTCTAGCGACTGGACGCCTCAGCCACAGATTGGTGAGTTTGGTTCGTTTTAACCTCAGCTATCATTTACTCTATTTGCTGCCTGATGCATGGAGCACAGAGAGAAGCAAAAAGGGTTTAATTACATACTTTATTTACATACACTACCTGATAAAAGTCTTGTCGTGGATCTCAGTTGTAAGAGCAACACATAATAACTTGACTTCTAGTTGATCATTTGGGAAAGTGTCAGAAGGTGGATTTCTCTGATGAATCATCTGTTGATCTGCATCCCAATCATCACCAATACTGCAGAAGACCTACTGGAACCAGCATGGACCAAGATTCTCACAGAAATCAGTCAAGTTTGGTGAAGGAGAGATCATGGTTTGGGGTCATTCAGTATGGAGAGATCTGCAGAGTGGATGATCAACATCAACAGCCTGAGGTATCAAGACATTTGTGCTGCCCATTACATTACAAACCACAGGAGAGGGACAATTCTCCAGCAGGATAGCGCTCCTGCTCATACTTCAGCCTCCACATCAAAGCTCCTGAAAGCAGAGAAGGTCAAGCTGCTCCAGGGTTGGCCAGCCCAGTCACCAGAGATGAATATTATTAAGCATGTCTGGGGTAAGATGAAGGAGGCGTTGAAGATGAACACAAAGAGTCTTGATGAACTCTGGGAGTCCTGCTGAAGGCTTTCTTCTTCATTATAGATGACTTTATTAATCAGTGATGTGAGTCATGTCAGAGATGTATGGATGCAGTCCTCCAAGCTCATGATGGAGTCAGACACAATATTCATTCTGTCTCCACTGCAGCAGGACTTTATATTCTATACTGGACATTATTTCTGTTCAGTGATGTGGCTTTAGTCTAAGCAGAGTCAGACCTTACTGTCCTAATCAAATCATTAATAGTCAAGGCATGATCAGATTTTATTGTGCTCAAATAAGCAAAATCTAGAGGCCTTTGCCTTTCATATGAGACACTTATGATACCAAATGGTCAACTAGAAGTCAAGTTATTATTTGCTGTTCCTAAAACTTGGATAGAAGACAAGACTTTTGTCAGGTACGTTATTGTCAATATTCATCTTCTTAAATTAACTAACTCAAGAAGATATTCAGCAGTGTCACTAGGAATTATTTATAGGATATTTAGCATGTATTAACATTAAAGATCCAATTTATATATTCATTTGTTTGTGGATTTAATTGTATACTGCTCGAAAAAATAAAGGGAACACTTTAGTGTAACTCCAAGTGTTATTTTCTGAGCAGTATATATTTAATAATATGCTTTTGGGATGCAAGCTGTGGTCTGATCAGCCTCAATCGAGTCACCTGGGGTGTTGAAAGACCTGAAATGCGTAGTGACCCCAGGATACATCACTGATGATCCGTCACAGTGCATCTACTGTAGTGTCCGCGGGCCAAAGTAGGCCGATTGTAGCCTTTGATTTGGCCCACCATACCATCTAGGAAGAAAGTGAGAAAGATGGAGAAAGTTGGGGAGAATGCCTTTAACAAAGATCGTCATTTGACGTAGTCTTTTTTTTTTTTTTTTGTTTTTTGTTTGTTTGTTCCATTGCAGAGCTACAAAAAAGCAAACTGAAATTAAATTTTGTAAAGTAATCTTGAGATTTTAAAAAGTAAATATTGTCAGTCGATGGACAGAGGACTTTGAAGAAGACAAAATGAAAGGCAAAAACTACTGTAACCCTATTCTGTTATTAAGTTTACTATAAAAAGTAATATGAACTATACTGTATTAGTAAATATAAAGCAATGTTTTTTTTAGTTATTTTAAAATATTAAATAATTAATTAAATAATAAATTAAATAAATAATGAAATTACACATTTCAAGTATATTTACATTCAGCCCATAAGCCTCAGTCAAGTTTGGTTTTTGGCCCTTATAAGAAAAAAATTGGCCATCCCTGATCTAGAAGATGTATCTTGCTCACTGCAATGAAAATAGCCTGTGTTTCTGACATGGCATTAAATAAAATTATATAATGATGTTGTCTTCATCTTCATATTTCTTCTAATTCTTCTTCTTATAATTATTACTGCTGAGCAAAAATTATTTAAACTATTATTATTACTAGTGTATGTGTGTATTTTACATGTATGAATGTGTAAATAAATGCAAAAATTCCTGCAAATAAATATATGTAAATAATTAATAGTGCCGGGTGTCTATCAATCATCAAAAGCCAGTCAAAAAACAATCATTTGCTTATTCCCCCAATATTCGTGTAATTTATTTATTTATTTATTTATTATATATATATATATATATATATATATATATATATATATATATATATATATATATATATATATATATATATATATATATATTATTATTATTTATTTTTTTTGTCTGCCAGCACTATTATTTATACATTTATATTTGCAGGATATTTTTGGATATATTTATTTATTTATTTTCTTATTTGTTTATTGTTTTATTTATGCAGGAATATATGTATTCATATACTCATTTAGTTATTTATTTGCGCATTTATTTATTGATCGTTTTTGCAGGTTTTGTCGTCTCTAACACGCCACTATTGTTGAAAAATGTTCTTCAGTTTAGTAAATTACAGCATGCTTTTCTTCTAGGGTCCTATCGGTTCATTCAGCAGCACATCATGAGAGGAACTGATCCCAGAGCCATTCTGAAAGATTTGCTTCCTGAAACGGTGCTTCCTCCAGACCTGGACGACATGACGCTGTGGCAGATCATCATCAACATCTCTGAGCCGCCCAAACGAAAGAAACGCAAAGACATCAACACGTTAGAGGACGTGGTGCGGCTCCTGAACGAGAGGAAGAAGATTCTGGTGCTCACCGGTGCTGGGGTGCGTTTCTCACTTTTACACTCACTGAAGTCTTTTGACAGTATCAGATTTTTTTTGTGTGCAGAATAATTGCTGAAGCTTTTATCAGGATATACTGTAGTGGTATAAACGGATCACAAATCTCACCATTCAGAACAGACTGTGGTGTTTAAGTCACGGATCGTACCAATTTTCAGATCAGCGAAAAAAGGGAGGAGATAAATGCATTTGATTTATTACAAAAACAGTACTGCAAGAAACCTTTGGTTTTAACAAGCAGAACTGAGAACCTGTCATTTTAATAAAAACAAAATCAAGAAAAAACCAGCTGAATAAATAAGTAAAATCTTTAATACTGTGAAAAAATATCTTTGCATAATTTATAAATCTAACAATATAATCTTGTATTAACACATCATGTTTATTTTTTAGTCTCATTTTCAATTAATGATCCAATAATTCACTCTTAAAACTTCTAAAACGCAACGAGTTTCAGCTTGGCGTAAGAGTCATTTTTACGTTTTCCGACATGCTGTTTAAATAGCAAATGCATTAGCGCTCATATGTGCGCCCATAGGCGTTCTGGTCTAAAAAGGAGGCGTTCTGAAGCACATTGCTGGCGCGTTGCTATTTTGAGAAACTAAAATAGATTTTCAATAGACCAAAACAAACCCGGTCTTACACACTGCATAATACATACAAGATGTAGAGCAATACGCAAATATCTTTACATATAAAATATAATGTAAATATTAAGGATTTATATAGGATATAATAAGGATATTTATTGGATTTAAATATAAAGGATTAAAATATTACAAAACATTATTTTTTAGCCTACATAAATATGAAAAACCACTGCTTTCATGTCTTCTTCATCTCAGGAGGCTTTTTCAGTTCATTCAATTTGCTTTTGTATAATGTTATTATTATTAGCAGTATTATTTATTATATCCATATTTATATTTGTTTTATTAAAAACAAGCTTAGATTTGCCCACCTGTCAGGTTTTAGACCATATGGGGCACAGCATGTGTTTTAGGATATAACTCAGGTTTTTGAGCACATTTTGTTATTATTGGTCATTTATTCGTTTGCTGGAAATTAGAACTGAATTTAGAAATAGCTTTGAAACAAATCTTTGCGCTTAACTAACAAAATTAATTATTTATAGACTAATTGATGTCTGTGTGTAAAGGTTTCCCTATCCAAGAGCGAAAGTGAAAGTAGATCATTTATCTCTTATTCTCGTTCTGTAGATGCTCTGTTTAACTGTTTTTTTGCTAGTGAAGTGTTCAGTTTTTCCACTTACTTTATGTCATGTAAATAGCAAATTCGCTCTTGGCACGACGCAGCTGGCTCTTAAAGGGAATGGGAGATGAGACTCTGATTGGTTTATTCTCAAAACACACCTATAACTCATTAAGAAAATAAACTCAATCCTTTTAGACCATGCGCCACAGCGCAAAGCGGATTTTCACATCTTTATATTAGCAAAGGTGAATTCTGACACGCCCTGAATGTGTTTGCATTACTAGATTAATTATTTTTGAATTATTCAGGGACATATTTTTGAAGGTTGTTTGTCGTCACCTATTGGTGAAATAATGTAATTGCTACAACATTCACCAGCGTCAAGTTGCATTAAACTGTGATTTTAATCTTTACCATAAACATCAATGTTTATATCTGAACTATAAGCTGAACTAGCAACTTATCCAGCACATGTTTTACGCAGCAGATGCCCTTTCAGCAGCAACCCATCACTGGGTAACATCCACACATACTCATTCACTCACAAACACTACGGATTAGCCTACACAATTCACCTGTACTGCATGTCTTTGGATGTGTGGGGAAAACCATAGCACCCAGAGGAAACCCACGCGAACACAAGGAGAACATGCAAACTCCATACAGAAACGTTTACTGACCCAGCCGAGGCTCGAACCAGCGACCTTCTTGCTCTGAGGTGACTGTGCTACCCACTGCGCCACCCTAATTTACAAGTTAAAAAAGTGATTGATCTGCTATAGTAATTGTAATATTTGTTTCTCTTGCATCACAGGTGTCTGTTTCCTGTGGGATTCCTGACTTTCGCTCTAGAGATGGTATTTATGCTCGACTCGCTGTAGATTTCCCAGACCTTCCTGATCCTCAAGCCATGTTTGACATCGACTACTTCAGGAGAGATCCCAGGCCTTTTTTCAAGTTTGCCAAGGTTTGAGGCTTTTCCTTCTCATGTGGGAAACATTATCGCATTGGTGCATTTCAAGACATTGTGTTGTTTATTGATGCACTGGCCTACATTCAGACTAGCTGAACGAAAACCTCCCAAATATAGTTGAGGAAAGTATTATTACCCCTGTATAATTTCCTTTCATTTGCAAGAATTTTTTATTTATTAAATTGATATTTATTAGAGCACGGAAATGTTTTACAGTCTTTCCTATTCTATTTCTCTTCTGGCAAATGTCTGATTTTTTTTTTGTTTAGATTTGAATAAAAATAAATAAATTATAGTCATTATTATTGAGTCAGGAATCTCCACATCATCACCAACTGGCATTGTGTGTGTGTGTGTGTGTGTGTGTGTGTGTGTGTGTGTGTGTGTGTGTGTGTGTGTGTGTGTGTGTGTGTGTGTGTGTGTGTGTGTGTGTGTGTGTGTGTGTGTGTGTGTGTGTGTGTGTGTGTGTCTGTGTGTGTGTGTGTCTGTGTGTGTGTGTGTGTGTGTGTGTGTGTGTGTGTGTGTCTGTGTGTGTGTGTGTGTGTGTGTGTGTGTGTGTGTGTGTCTGTGTGTCTGTGTGTGTGTGTGTGTGTGTGTGTGTGTGTGTGTGTGTGTGTGTGTGTGTGTGTGTGTGTGTGTGTGTGTGTGTGTGTGTGTGTGTGTGTGTGTGTCTGTGTGTGTGTGTCTGTGTGTGTGTGTGTGTGTGTGTGTGTCTGTGTGTCTGTGTGTGTGTGTCTGTGTGTCTGTGTCTGTGTCTGTGTGTGTGTGTGTGTGTGTGTGTGTGTGTGTGTGTGTGTGTGTGTGTGTGTGTGTGTGTGTATGTGTATGTGTATGTGTGTATATATATATATATATATATATATATATATATATATATATATATATATATGTATATATATGTGTGTGTGTGTGTGTGTGTGTATATGTGTGTATGTATGTATGTATGTATGTATGTTTGTGTATATGTACATGTATATATATGTGTATGTATATATATATATATATATATATATATATATATATATATATATATATGTGTGTATATATATATATATATATATATATATATATATATATATATATATATATATGTGTGTATATATATATATATATATATATATATATATATATATATATATATATATATAGTTGAAGTCAGAATTATTAGCCCCCACCAACCCCCTGTCCCCCCCCCCCCCCTGTATTTTTTTAATAATAAATATTTCCTAAATGATTAAGAATAGAGCAAGGACATTTTCACAGTATGTCAGATAATATTTTTTCTTCTGGAAAAAGTATTATTTGTTTTATTTCGGCTAGAATAAAATCAGATTTTAATTTTTTAAAAGCCATTTTAAGGACAAAATTATTAGCCTCTTTAAGCTAACTTTATTTTCGATAGTCAACAGAACAAACCATTGTTATACAATAACTTGCACAATTACCCTAACTTGCCTAGTTAACCTCATTAACCTAATTAAGTCTTTAAATGTCACTTTAGGCTGTATAGAAGTGTCTTGAAAAATATCTAGTAAAATATTATTTACTTTCATCATGGCAAAGATAAAATAAATCAGTTATTAGACATGGATTATTAAAAGTATTATGTTTAGAAATGTGTTGAAAAAAAATCTTCTCTCTGTTAAACAGAAATTTGGGAAACAAATAAACAGGGGTGCTAATAATTTAGGGGGGCTAATAATTCTGACTTCAACTATATATATATATATATTTATATCCACATTCTTATTATGTTTGGCAATATTTATTTTAATTACTTGTTCTGGCCATGGACACCAGTTTTATTCTTCTCTGTATTGTGAATGTGTACAATAAAATGTATTCCTCTGTATTTTGAGTTCATGTCAAAATGTGCAGTTTTATTAATTGATAATTAAGATTATTTGCACCAATCTTTACAGATTTATTCCTGTCTATATTCAGATTACACTCACCAAAAAATTCAGTCAGTTAATTTTTTTAAGTGTTATTATCTATACTCTAGTTGTATATTCTAAAATATATACATTTTTATTAATGCCTATATACTGATGAATTATTGGAGTAAAGCAAACTTGACTATTAATTGTTCCAATTTTTGTTCTTAAATGAAAAAAAGTATTTAATTAAATATTAGTTTAAAGAACATTTAAGAACTTCTAAACGTTATATATAACGTTAAAAGTAAAATTAAAGTTGTGTTGCATAGAAGGATTGTGACTCCAGTGAATAATATGCACAAATGATAACTTCAATTTTAAATAAAACCTTTTTGAAATTTTTTTTTCAACTTTTTTCATTGTTTATCCTCAGTTTAATGGATGAACGAATGCAGCAAGATACACTTATTTACCATTAACTCTTGCATGTAACGAAGTAGAAGTGCATTCACATTATAAAAACAACTAAATGCAATCAATGTATAACAACCTCAACAAAATAATGATTCGATTTCAGTTCATCTTACTGAAATACATGTCTGTAGCGCTTTTACATTGAAAATTGTGTGAAAGCAGCTTAACATAGAAGTTCTAGCTAATTGAAACTGTCAGTCTAGTTTTCAGAGTTTAAGTTCAATGATAAATATAGAACTCTATATGTTATTCAACAAATGGATCCTTAGACATTATATCATCAGAAACATTATAATTAATCAAAAGTCATCAAATATCAGGATAAAAAGTGATGCATGTGTTTAGAAAAGAATAGCATAGAAAAAATGAACTTAATCCAATGTGATTAATTAACATGAGAATATACTGTATGGTGATGTCTGTTAGTAAAAGTGTTCACTGTTTAACAGTGATGCAGAATAACTGTATTTCCCTGTCACATTTTACTGTAGGAAATCTACCCCGGACAGTTCCAGCCATCTCCATGTCACCGATTTATATCAATGCTGGACAAGAAGGGAAGGTTATTGAGAAACTACACGCAGAATATCGACACACTGGAGCAGGTGGCTGGAATACAGAAGATCATTCAGTGCCACGGTATATATTTATATTAATATATTCAGACTTTCTTGCTGTAAAGGCTCAGTGCTAACCACTGAGCCACCATGATACTCTATGCTGGACACTATATATATATATATATATATATATATATATATATATATACTCATACATACAGAGTATTAGAGCTGCACGATTCTGGTTAAAATGAGAATAGCGATTTTTTTTTTTTTTTTTGCTTAAAATAAAGATCACGATATTCTTACGATTCTGTAGATGTAAAATAAAGGTATGGTAAAAACAAACATATGGCACAATATCGATAATAATATAATGTGTAGGTCTACTGGTTTCTATAAATAATTCTATTCTACTTATAATAATTCTGATGTTTAATTATTATGTTTGAGATATATGCTTACAAACTGTCATATTACACAAATTTATTCACTGGTAAATCAGACATTTGCCATTATCAGATTATATTCAACAATATATAGGCTAGAGTAGTTATACTGACACTGTAAACATTTATTTTCATGCACAACTGTGGGTTCACTATGAAAGAAAAAAAACATATTAAATGCTTGTCGTAATCATAACTCTAAAATGCGATATGATCATTTAAATGAAGTGCACACTTTCGGTTTCATTTTGACAGCTAAGTGCTTGTTCATATTTCGCGCGCTGCTCCCAAACGATCACTCTGTGCCACAAACTTAAAGTGATTTACAACTGTATTACCTGTTACTCGCAACATATGCAGGTTCTGTTCACTAAAGTAATGATAATGATAGACGCGCGCACGTGTTCTCTGTAAAAACAGCTGACGGTCAGCAGCTCACATCAAGTGTGATTTCCCAGCCGCGAAAACATCATTATATGAAGACAAAAATGACATTTTTTTATGTCTTATTATACCTTATAAATACAGTATGTGACTCATTCAACATCATTTGGAGGTGTCAATGTCACTGAGCAACGTGTGAGAAACAATGAAAAGACTCGTGCAGTCGCCTTTTCTTCTCTCCTGAACTCGAAAATATGATTGGCAGAATCGTAGAAATGCTGGATTAAGATCGTCTAGGGGGTCGAATCGAGATCGCGATCTTTTAACGATTAATTGTGCAGCTCTACAGAGTATAAGTCAGAATTATTCGCCCCCCTGTTTATTTTTTCTTCCCAATTTCTGTTTAACGGAGAGCTTTTTTTTTTTTCAACACATTTCTAACCATAATTGTTTTAATAACTCATCTCTAATAACTGATTTATTTTCTCTTTGCCATGATGACAGCACATAATATTTGACTAGATATTCTTCAAGACACTTCTATACAGCTTAAAGTGACATTTTACCAGGTAAACTCTCCTGACCCAATACTGGGTCTGTGATGTCATTGACTTTCGCTTTAAGATTTAAAGGGCTAACGTTGCACCAGACCCCCGTAAGTGGTTTTGTTTGAAAGTGTAGAATCTATATGTTATGCACATATGCATCACTTTGGTTTTTATTCTACTGTACAAAAGTTATTTACACTTAAATACACAGTATTTTGGATACCCGAGCTGGGTATTTTACATTGATTCATTTATATATTTTTCATATGACACATGCACAAGTTATAGCTCAAATGAAAGCTCTTACCGGTGCTTATACGGTTCTAATCTTCTTTTTACTGAATTATATTCACATATCAAACAGTTGTTGAATGAATCGCGGTGTTTTCATGACGCAGAAGTGAAAATGTGAAATATGTGGCTTGTACAGCACCTCTCATCAGTTGGAATACAATAACTTCTGCATAGATTATGGTGGAGACATTTTTCTGTTTTCCTATGATTACAGACATGTGCAGGAACCACCAACATTAATTACAGCACGCCAGACCACACAGAACCTAAAAGATACACTTTCAAATTTGAGCTCATAAAATGTTTTTTTTAAAAAGCGCCTCTTTTTTAGGTGTTTACTAAAACACAGACAACATATACAGATATTTTAAACACTTTCAATAGTGTTTTAGGAAAATTCAAAGGGTTTTCTTTAAAATAATAACAATTTTTTGCATTTACACCTCTGCATGTGGATTTGGGAAGCTTTTAAATTTGGGCAGAATCCAGGCGGAAATCCCCAAATAGCAGCAGAGTTTAACTAACTGGTTAAAGGCTTAACTAGATTAATCAGGTTAACTAGGCAGGTTAGGTTCATTAGGCAAGTTATTGTGTAATGATGGTTTGTTCTTGACTATCGAAAAATATAAATTCCTAAAGGGGCTAATAATTTTGACCTTAAAATGGCTTTTAAAAAATTTAAAAAGGCTTTTATTCTGGCCGAAATAAAACAAATAAGACTTTCTCCAGATGAAAAAAATATTAACAGACATACTGTGAAACTTTTCTTGCTCTGTTAAACATAATTTGGGAAATATTTAATAAAGAAAAAAATTC